ATCCCCAGAGAAGATAGACATGTCTCCACCCTTTGGCTATCATCACTTCAATCCAATTTAAAGATGATTCAAAATTGATCTTCATCCCCGTGGGTCTTGTCTATGTCTGGTTCACCCATCTTCCCAGGTCTTGGACCTTCCCAGGTAGTTCCTGATCTCTAAGCTCTGTCCTTCCAAACTTAAACCTCAGTCAACTTTGCTAGATGGCCACTACCCAGATGCTGACCTTGCCTTCTAGGTTTCACCCTTTTCTCCCTCCTGGTCAGGTAATTGTTTACTATCTTGCCAATTAAGGCACTGGAGAATTACTTAAGCAGATATTTTAATATTTTCTAAGCTTTCTTTATTATTCTCAGTGGGATGATAACTAGATAGATGTACAAGGATGCTTGTACACCTTTGTTTTTAATATAAATATTTAGTTAGTTAGTTAGTTTGGATACTGAGGATGGAACCCAGGAGTGCTCAAGCATTGAGCCATATCTCCAGCCCTTTTATCTTTTATTTAGAGACAGGCTCTTGCTGAGCCTCCCTGAGTTGTGAAGTGCCTCATTAAGTTGCTGAGGTTGGCTTTGAACTCGCAATCCTCCTGCCTCAACCTCCTGAGCCACTGAGATTACAGGCATGGGCCACCATGCCTGGCTATAAATAACAATTTGTATGATTTTTCTCATTATGATTTGTTCCTTATTACTAAAGATATAGACTCCCACTTTTAAAATTTTAGAAAATGTAAACAAAAAAAGGAAGAAAAAAAATCCCTTACAATTTCACCACTTTATAATGTATTTCCTACTGGTCTTTTTCTATGAATATATACAAGCATTTTTAACAAAAATTAGATCACTCCATACTTATTATTCTACAACATGATATATACCTTTAATATATGATAATATTTCAATAGCTGTGTTATATTCTAATATATATGCCACAATTCATGTAAACAATTCTCTAAAGTTGGATACCAAAAGTTTTCCAGTTATTCAATATCATAAAACCCTTGTCACAAACAAGATTTCATCAAACATAGTCATCCCTTAGTATCTGGAAGGGATTGACTCCAGGACCCCCTGCAAATACCAAACCTGTGGATGCTCAAGTCACTCATAAAATGACATAGTATTTGCATATATCCTATCCACCTCCTCCACATACTTGAAATCATCTCTATATTACTCTAATGCCTAATACAATATAAATGCTATGTAGATAGTTGTTCTGCTATTGTCCTCATTCTTTTGTTTATGGAATGAGGACAAGAGGGAAGCATGTATATGTTCAGTACAGTTCTCAGGTTTTAGATCTTTGGTTGGTTTAATATGCAGGCACAGAACCCACAGATATGGAGACCTAACTATACTCAAACAGTTCATGATTATTTCCTTAAAATAAATTCCTAGATGCAGGGCTGGGAACATATCTCAGTGGTAGACTGCATGCCTAGTATGTGCAAGGCCCTGTGTTCTATCCCCAGCCCCACAAAGAAAAAAAAATTACAGAAAGAGACTTACTGGGTAGAAGATAGATGATTTATATATATTGCCAAGTTGTCCTCAAGTAGGTTTGGGGTTTTGTAGTACTGGGGATGGAACTCAAGGCTTCATACACCTAGGCAAATGCTCTACCACTGTGTCCCATCCCCAGACCTTTATTTTTAATTTGAGACAGGGTCTTGCTAAGTGCCCAGACCCGCCTCAAAGTTTTGATCCTCACCTCAGTCCCCTAAGTAGCTGGGATTATGATGGTGCACACCCAGTCTGGCCAGAAGAGTAATATTAATGTATACTTCTACCAACCACATTTGAAAACAGATTAGAAAAAAACAGATTAGAATTTCTGAGCACTTAATCCATACCAACATAAATGAGATTACCATTTTAAAACAATTTAAAAAGCATTCCATCAAGATCAGTGTAATGTTTTGAGCAACTAATAAATTTCTGATGTTTAAAAAAAAAGAAAGAAAGAAAATTTTTTAAAAAAAGCATTCCAAAAATTTTCTGCTATGATTGCGATTCTGATTTCTCCCTTGATGTATAAAATCAGATACCAACTTAGAGACCAGAGGCTCTGGAGTTTAGAAATAGAGAACAACCATTTCCTCTTCTGGGAACAAAACCTAATTTACTGAGAATTACCAGAGACAGGGTAGGGTAGCTGAATATCTGCTATCCAAAAGCAAATAACATGAATGAAGGGAAATTCTTCCTACAATCCAGGTGACCCAGAAATTACTATAATACCTGAGTAACACTCTAGAATAGACAAGCTTTGGTTTGAATTCCCCATTACTTTCAGAGCAAAGAATAAACCCCTTAACAAGGCCCTGTGAGATCTGACCTGTGCTTACCTCTACTACCTGGACTCCTGCCTCTTACACCTTAACAGCCTATAATACTGACCACCTCTTTACTCCCAAATCACCATACTTTCTTCTTCTCCCCTATACCATGGATATACAGTGTCCTTTGCATAACCTGTTCATTTTCTTGTTCCTCACTAACTCCAACCTTTCCTTCAAAACTTAGCCCAAATGTCACTTCTGCTAGGACATTCCATGACTCTAGTCTGCCACAGGAGTAACTCTTACAACATTCACATCAGTGTCTGTCACAGCATGTATCACTCCAGGATGTAATTGTACTCCGGACTATGTTACATGTCTCCTTAAGTCCAGGGCACTGCACCAAAAAATAATAAGGACTAGAGATATGCTTGTTAAAGTAAGTCTTTTCTTCCCCTATAGACATTCTTTCAGTCAGTCCTGAAAAACTAGGTCTTTACTTTTATTAAAGAAAATGCAACCTAATGCAACCTTTAATTAAAGAAAATGCATTCCCTTGAGTAATAGTTAGATGTAGTTGCCTAACATTCTAGAATAATAAAACTGGAGGGATGTAAGTAATTACAAGCCAGATCCTTTGTTTTTACATTAAAGAAATTTAATTTCAGGGAGATTGAGTGACTTATCCAAGGTCATAATGCAAGTTCATAATGGAAATAGAATGAGTCTGCAGGACTTCTGATCACTAGGCCAACATGCTTTCCAATAAATCAAAGGTCTTACAAGCAGCAGCCCAGAGAAAATGACACAACTCAGAAAAGGCTCTCTTAATGGTAGAATTCCAGATGTTGTGGCCCTAACAGCTGTCATCTCACCTTGTGCCACATACCTCAACCCAAACTGGTAGAAGAGAAAGTCTTCTATATCAACTTAGAGGGGGAAAAAAGACTATAACTCACTGTTCATTTTGTAAGGAGAATTTTGTCCTATGCTCATTGTTGTACATGCTCTTTAAAGTGCTAATGCCTATTTTAGTTCTTTTGAAGATGAAGAAATCAAAACACTAAGGCACACCTGCTTTTCAAACTAGGTATTGATGAAATCAAAACTTAGTTCCAGAGGTTTATTCTTCTTGACTTACCTACCTGTGAATATACATATCTATTTCTGGAATTATCATGGCATAAGCTAAGAAATCTAATTCAACAAAGATAATTGCCTTCCAACCAACTTTTGTCTTATGCCCAATTGCATTATTTTGGTTTTACTTGTCAATATTATTAGAAAGTCAAACAGTTAGAAATATTAAATTATTTGGGTCCTGGCTTAACCCATGGGACAGTACAGCATGGTGGTAAATAGTATGGGCTCTCAGGTCAGACTGAGTTTGCATCAGTGACTTCTAGCTAACTTTGAGCAAATTACTTGGTATCTCTACCTGGACTCCTTTATCTGGAAAATGGGGATGATGATAGTACGTGTTTCTGATGGTTGTTTTGAGGATTAAATGAAATTATACCTGTAAAGTGCTTAGAACAATGCTGGGCATCTGGTAAGGCTTAGAATTAGTTACTGTACCAGGGGCTCTATAAATAAACATAAATTTAAAATGATCAAAAGATTCATCTTATGCCCTCAAATGCAAACCTCCTGCTATTGGAATAGTTTTAAGGGACTATGATATATTCCCATTGATTCCCTATAATATTATGCCACATGAGACCTATGAAAGAAAACTTGATGAAATACAGGCATTAAATGTTATCACATAAACCATCCATAAATTCTGGGTTTCCACAAAGCAGTTCTTACGAATCATAATTAAGGGTTTGAAAGTCAAATGATTTAAGTGCTAGTTTTAATTACCGCTTGGTGAACTTTAGTGTGTTAGAATTGTCACAACTTTCCTTAAGGATTACTCTGAAACCAGGCAATACAGTGGGAAATTATTAACTCCTACTTTGGTACAGCAATTATCTGCATTACAAGGTTTATGCAATTAGCTGTTTAAGATGTCATTATATTTTGCCATCTGGTACACAGGAGTTTATGCATATGAACAGGCACGTGTTGAAGTGATTTTCCCTATATGACTTGTTCTCAACCCAAGTCATCTCTCTAATGAGGGGAAGTTACCGTGCACTGTACATTAGTGGCAGGTGCACACTATCAAGCTTCATTTTCATCGAAGACCTTCATTTTTCCATTTTAAAGTATTCTGCACAAGTGCTGGAAAATTAATTAGTCGTTCGCAATTGAACAACGCCTGCAGACATGTTCCTTAGCAGTTAGAGTGGGGCACGGCTTCGGTTAGGGGCCACTCCTACTTCTCACCCCAAAGGCTGCAGGGTTCCCTTAGGCGATGACAAAAAGCCAGGGCGCGATCTGTTGCAGTAGACCTCCTCTCGCGAAGACGAAAAGGGGGACGTCGCCGCAGGGTATTCTGCACCGGGCAGAGCCAGCTCCCGGCTTTGCACCCAAAGCGTGAGCGTGACGAGGACCCGGACGCCAAGGCGTCACCCTGAGATCCCAGCCCCGCTGCGGAGAAACTGCGACCCGGCGGGCCTAGACGCCGCAGCTGTCCCGGAGCGGGTTCTCGACTGAAGCGCATTAAAACGGCGCCCTCTGGTGTCCACTCGAGCCCGCCGGGTCAAGGCAGAGGCGCTCGGGAGCCGGGTTAAACTTGTCACCCGGTTTGGACTGAAAAACTCACCAACTTTAAAAAATGCCTTGCTATTCTGCGGAAGCTGTGTCCACGGCCGTCGCTGTCGAGCAAGGCTGGCAGAAGGACCCTGGCACCGGCTGTGTCTCCGGGGGAGGGGAGAGTCCAGGTCCCTCTTGGCAGGGCCAATGTGCTGTGACCCTAGGGCGGCGCCTTCGCAGAACCGGCGTAGAGAGTTAGGGGTCCCTCATCTCCCCGAAGCAGGAGAGGGAAAAACCTCCAACTCCCAACGTCGTCTGGGCGCAGGGTCCCTAATTCGGCCGCACCTGCTAAGTGGCCAGCTGAGGAAGCTCGGGGGAACTGGGGCCGGCAAGGGGAGGGACAGGCTCTGAGGGATTGTGAACTTCCCTTGGCAGGGAACCTTTTAGGGCTTCATTGGTTGGTTCTCTGAGTAGCCAAATCGGAAAGCGCGCGGGCACCTCGGCGAGGCTGGCCCAGGGCTGCCATTGAAATATGACACTGACGAACGAGCTAGGCCTGCCCGCTTTCTTTAGGAGAGTGTGGAGTCTAGAGAGCAGAAACTCCCGGGTTCCCTGGGGTACATTCTTCTCCCCACCCCACCCTGCCCCCTGCCTTTGGCACCACTACTACCCCTCCCCCGTCTCTCATCGCACGCGCAAGCACACCCCCCACCCTCACCCACCCCCTCACTCCCTCACCCCCACTCACCCCCAGAGAGAGAGAGAGAGAGAGAGAGAGAGAGAGAGAGAGAGTCTGCATGTGTTTTCTCTTTCCCAGTCTGGATGCCAGTCTGGAGTCTAAGTTCAGTTGCTAGAGGGCTGAGTCCCAGCACGAAAAACTTTCTGATCACAGGAAAGTTAAGAGTTTGTTGGTTGACAAAGTGGACCCTTGAGTTATTTTGACAGTCTGGTTGTAGCATGGACTTTCACCTTTTATATTTGAGGTTTGGGGAGGTGATAGCTAGGGGACAGAAGAAGGGGACCCAGCATGCTGAAACTGGACACTTTTATGGTGTTACTGCACCAGCCTTGGTTGGGAAGGAGGTATTGGCAGGGAGAAAGGAGGAAGGGTAGGTTGGATCCTTGTAGGTGACCAGAACATATTTCTGGAAAGCCCACAATTTGTGAAGCACTGAACCAGGCACTACTGGTAGTTGTTAAAAATGAAAACAGAAAATTTCCAGCTGAGTAGAGAGAGTAAAATGCAAAAGAAAAGTACAAACTGAATTAAGTATCCAACTAGGTGCACCAAGCTAGGTGTACAAATAAGGATGGGTAAAATTGGAACTGGCTGTTTTTTCAGAAGGTATCTGTGTGGACATCACTGCAATGCTTCTGCAGTTGAGAGGTTATTATGGGCAGGCCCAGAAGTTTGAAATTATGGTGCCAAGAAAGAGAGCCAAGCATGTGTGTTTAAAGAGAAAGTGGGGCAAGCAAATCAAGCCCAGATTGAGAAGGCTGAGGGGCCCAGAATTTGGAGGATAAAATAAGAAAAGCATTCAATTTGGGGCTAGACTGGTGTAGTTCTAAACCCCATCTATGCCTTTGCAAAATTTAACTATGAGTTTCTGTTTCCCTCTGTGAAATATGTATACTTATGCCTTGATGTTGTGAAAATTACACAAGGTTTAATGAAGTACTGTCCTTGACACTGAATATGTTTAGTATTAATATAACTCCTTCCTCTCAACTATTTCAAAATTGTTCCCATGATTTCTAAGCTTCGTTCAGGACACCTTTAGGGGTTCTTCAAACAAATATGTAATTATATCAATCTTGTTTACAGTTCTGTTGTTCAGACACTCAGGAGTCCATGCTATCTATGCTTGTGTCTTCTGTAGCATCTAAATTATTTGAGAACACAAATAATGTTTGTCCCACAAGTTTCTAGTAATTGGCTTTCTGAGCAATTGGCCCAAAAGACTAGTCCCTCTGAAGTCAGTAGCATGTAACACTGGTTCATTGGGCTCTCACCAGTGACTCTGGCTGAAATCTTCATTCCACCATGATCAGAAGCAACATTCAGCTTCTCAAATCTTATACCCATCCATTGTAAAACATTTTTTTTTTCATTTTAATAAGTATATTCCTTCCTAGAGCTGAGACTCCACAGTACATCTGACTTGTAGTTGACTTGGGAAGATACCCATATTCAGAAGTTCTGAGACTGGACTTGGGAAGGTCAAGACTCTGACTCAGAGCAGGTGATATTAAGAACACTAATGAGTTTCTGCGTGGCATATATCACAGCTCTGTACTTAAAAGTACCCCAGGTTGTTCACTGTTGGGTAAAGTTATCAAGAATAGTTAAGGCTTCCAGAAACATACCCATAAACAAACTTACACTGATCAATATATGTTTACATGACATAGAAACACAATTATAAATTACAGAATAAACAGGTGTCCCAAGTAAAATGCCATCTCATCAATGTGTGTGTATTGTAGTTGCACATAAAATGAGGTATGGCTATCGTTCCCAAATTTCCTAAAAGTTTTTTTTCCAAGTCATTTATTTATAGAGCTATGCCTAAAGATGATGAAATAAGTAACATTAAAATTCTAGGATGAAGCTAATAATTTCAAAAAGGAAATGAGTCAGCTCAAAGTTTGAGCTAGGATATGTGTTCTTTGAACATTAATTTATCATTTTATTATAACAAAACCAAGACATAGACCTGGGAATGAAAGGCAGGGAACTATTTCTAAACCTAAAGCTTAGAACATAAATTCCAAGAGAAACACCCTTGGATTTCTTTCTCTGCCTGCTAATACCTAGAACAGCGTGGAACACATAAAACACACTCCAAAAATATATGTTGACTTCAACTGGTTTTTCTTCAGAAAAATCTTCTTATCTAATTGCCAACTGATCTCCAATATCTGACAATCCAGACTCCTGACCTTAAATTTTGATAACTTTAATATACAGTATGATTTTCCTACTGAATCTTTTGTAGCATGTCTCTCAAAATGAAAACCTATTATATTATTAGAAACTCTCTCAATGCATAGAAGCTGGAGATGACTTGCTGAAGTCTGAGCTTTAGATAATGCATTGGCAAGAAGAATGATTACGGTTGGCACCAATAGGAGAAATAAGAAAATCAAAAGTACACATTTACATCAAATGCCCCAACTCAAACACTTCTGTTGCTTAATCTTCCATCCTTTTGATGAGTTTTTTATTTTCTCAGGTGTGAAAAAGGAGTCTTCTGAATAGGATTATGGTTTGTAACTTAGGCAAGTGAAAAATTCATGAGTAATCATTGCACAATGGCAGTGCAAGTGTTAAAAAGAGTGTAATTTGCTTCCCTGATTTTTCTTCCCATTTTCTATCATGAAATATTACTACTACATGGACACAAACCAGCAAAAATATTTGATGTACAAAACTACTTAGTGTTGGGCGTGGGGTATAGCTCAATGGAAAAATGCTTCCCTAGCATGTGTAAGGACCTGGGTTCTTATCCCTAGTACCACTAAAACAGTCAAGCAAAAAAGGCTTGAGCGTATATAATTTTCATAACCAGATCAATATCATTCCTGCTATAGTTCAGATGTGAAGATAGCAATAGCTGCATTATACCAAACTTTTTATTGTAAGAAAATTGGTTGCTTTGGTTGTTAAGCAAATGTTATTCATATTTATAAACATAAAGCAACTCATTCTTTGACTTCTCCCACTGTGCCCTGCTCTTTTCTGCCACCAGTAATATTTTCTTAGGAAATGTTATAATAGTCTACCATTAATTGAGGCTACAATCACCAGCCTTTCTCCAACACCTTCAGTATGACAAAATCAGCAAAGTAGCTACCTCTCCTACCTGACCTTTCTGATAATTTTTAAAAGTGCCCCAAAGCCAGATGGTGCCATCCTAAATTGTGGTGCAGTAAAAGGCACCTAGATGTGTAGTCAGACATCAGGGCTCTCTGTGACCTGTCTCTACTTCTTCTTAAGTGGTTCCCTTAGTCTACCTGAAACTGTTTCCTCTGTGTGAAGAGATAAGTCAGGTCCTACTTTACCAAGGTGTTGTGAGAACTGCATGAGACCTCATATGTAAAATTTCTAACCCTAGTCTCCTAGCAGAGTTGGTAGGTTATAAATTCATTTCAAAGGTAGCTTCTGAAATATAGATCTGGGACTACTAGAAGAGGAAAATTTTTAAAGAGCAGAAAAATATATGTAGCAATTGTAACTTGTATCCCTGTATCTTTATTTCCTTATCTTTCAAATGGGGATAATATATCCCCTTAAAAGTTGTGAAAATAAAACAATTAAAAATTTAATAAAATTGGATGATAAATAGTAAATAGTAGTAGCCCTCCATAAATATAACTTGTTATTTGTCTATGAGAAGGAGACTAGCTAGAGAGAACAGTTATCAGAACTTCCACTTACCTATTCTGTGTACTAATCAGACACTCAAGCCTCTCAACTCTCTCTACCCCCCTCGAAGGGCCTAATCTTTAAGGAACAGAAAGAAGATAGACAAAGTCTTATAGGTTAAATTTTTTAGGATGAAAAATGTCTTTTCATATTAGAGATAGGTTAACGCTCCCTAGAAACACCTTCAGTTTCCTTACATTATCACATTTAATTCTCACAACAAACCTGTCAGGCAGGTATCAATCTTCACCTTTTAAAGGATGAAGAAACAGACTCAGAAAAACTCAGTGACTTGGGCTGGGGTTGTAGGTCAGTGGTAGAGCACTTGCCTAGCACGCGTGAGGCACTGGGTTGATTCTCAGCACCACATATAAATAAATGTATAAAATAAAAGTCCATCAACAACTAAAAAAAAAAAAAAAACTCAGTGACTTATCCAGGACCATACAGCTACTCTTCTAATGAAACATAGTCCACTTCGTGGTTGGTTATGTCCTGAACGAGGTACTGGAATCAAAGTTCAGCCAGAATTGTCAGGGTGCAAATCTTGCCAGTCCAATCAGAGGTGCTACTTTGGTTATGGAATTCCCATATATACCCCACCCCCACCCTGGCTCCTCACTCCCTCAAAGTACATTCTCAGGGTCCTCTTGACTCTTGCTGCTGCCAAAAGACTCCTAACTCTGGACAGGCTCAGGAACAGAGTCATGGCTCTAGACAAAATAGGGCCTTGCTTGGACAGGGCCGGGATCATTTTGTAGGCTTCTCTTTCTCCCTCCTGCTTCTTGGAATGCGCCTGTAGGTGGCGCCCTGCTTCGCTTAGGGGAACTGGGAGGGCGAGGACACGGGTCACCAGCTGCCTCTCCTAAAGGCCAATTTAAATAGTCCCTGGGATTGAGCTCACACTGGAAGCTTGCAGACACGAAGGTGTCGCCCCCCCACCACCACCACCACCCCGGGTTT